TACAGGGTCTTTTGAGGTCCCTTCCAACTCTTAATGTTCTGTGATTCTGTGATCCTCTAATTAAGAATTTATTGATGACAGTGTTGGATCTTTTTAAAAAAATATATTTTTAGGTAGCCTTTTAAAAAGCAGCTGAAACCAAAGCTCTTCTGAAGAAGGTGTGGGAGAAGGAGAGATGAAAGTTGATTAATTACTCTCCTGCCAGAAGGAACTGTGTTACAGAAGATAAGTGAAACTTTTATTCCGTGAAGGAGAAGATAACAAATTGAATATCACAGCAGGAGAAAATAAGAATTCACGCTGGAGTGGGAAATTGCAGTGGCCTCACAATTATCAGTGCTGGATTACAGCATAGGCTGGTTGATGAAATAGATTTTACTAGTGGTAAGTAATAAATCTCATTATAATGAAAACATGGGATTCTCAAGATCATCATTAACCATACAATAGCTTTACATGACAGAATCGCTATGTACTTCTGAATGTGAAAATCAGCCACATAAATCTATTATTTGATTTCCACTTTAAAAAGTCCTATAAATGCAAATATACTGGAGGCATATATTGGCATTTATAACACTTTACTCAAGGTTATATTGACATTGCTATTCTCCAGCTTTATTTTCCAGGATGTGCATCTCAGTAGCACTTGAAAGCTTGCAGGTTTTGCACAGTGTGCACTCTAAGACTCATTCACCTTCATCCAGGAAACCTCTGACCTTGCACAAAACAATTTGTTTCTCCTCCTAAGCACCCAGCATACACAGCTGAGCCTGTTCTCACTTAGCACACACATATTTTCTTTTACAGTGCTGAGCCAGATGGTGAAACCATTCCTCTTACCTTGTTGCAAACATTGCTCTCAAGGATGAGAAGGTTGCTGCATCTTCCTTCAAAGCCTTTAGTTCATTCCGTAGCTTGGTCATAGTTTCAGTCACCATTGCTTTTTCATTTTCATATTTATTCTTCAAATTGGCTAGTGCCACTTCAGCTGTCTGAAAATGAGCAAGGATATATGCTTATGATACAGGTATGTAATAGCAGCTAAGATGCTAGGTTTGATTTTACTTTTCATTTCCTTCTTCATTCACACAGTAAAAGAGGATATATCTGAGCTTCATCGCACTGCACACCAATGTTTTCTATTAAGCTGTACTCCATGAAATCAGGAAGAGAAGAAAGCACTTGAAAGGACATAGGCAATTTCAGTGCACTGGCAACAACTCGGCACCTTAAATGTCTTTATGAAACTGTGTAGCTCTATGTTGAGAACTCAGTCAAGTGAATAAGTTACTACAACTCAAGGAGCTGCTCCCATGTCATTCAAGCTGCAACAACCAACCAGGTGAGTCCCACCACCACGCTGCAGACAGGACACACAGCACATGAGACTCGGCCTCTGTAGCCAAGGCGTGAACTAAGGCAACTTGACTCATGCTTTTCACCAGCAGAGGCTTTCCTTGAGTGAGGACCCCACATCAGTGTCTGAGCACTGGCAATGCCCACTGTGGTGTAAACCAACACTATTCCGGAATTTTAAAAATCGGAAAAAAGAACAAAAGAAGTGTAAACTATGCTTAACATAAAATTAAAGCTTTGTAGTCATCCTATTCCTTTCTTTTCTGCTCCCTCCTTTCTTTTTTCAATTTCATACATTAAATTTCTTTAATTTGCCACCCTACTGCTTTTAATAGTTCCATTTGTCTTATTTTTGCAAGAGTTCGAACCTTCTGCTTTACCTATTATCCTGGTTTCAACTGTGATAGAATTAATTTTCTTCCCAGTAGCCAGTACAGTGCTGTGTTTTGGATTGAGTGTGAAATAATGTTGGTTACATGCTGATGTTTTAGTTGTTAAGTAGTGTTTGTCCTAAATCAAGGATTTTTCAGTTTCCCACTCTATGTCAGTGAGGAGGTGGACAAGAAGCTGGGAGGGAGAAGGGCCAGGAGAACTGAAGTAGCCAAAGGGCTATTTCATGCCATAGAATGTCACATTCAGTACAGAACCTGGGGGGGCCTGGCCAGGAGGTGCCGATCACTGCTTGGGGCCTGGCTGGGCATTGTCAGCCAGCGGTGAGCAAGTGGATTGTGCAGCAGTTGTCTTTTCTTGAGTTTTCTTTCTCTTTTTGCTATATTCAATTTCATTACTATTATTATTATAAAAATTTGGTTTAGTTATTATATTGTTCCTATCTCAACCCATTAATTTTACTTTTTTCCTGATTCTACTCCCCATCCCACTGGGCAGTGGTGTTCAGTTGCTGGCTGGGGTTAAACCACGACACCTACGAATTTTAGTATAATTTTGAAGTTATTCATAGTTTCATAGTTTCACAGAATGGCCTAGGCTGGAAGGGACCTTAGAGATCATTTAATCCAATCTCCCTGTCATGGGCAGGGACGCCTCTCAACTAGATCAGGCAACACACGGGGACCGACAAAAAACATAGTTTAAAATCTCTAGTGTGAAAGTAGAGAAAGCATTACTGGTGAGTGTAAAATTGAAAAGAAAAAAAAATCACTAGTAACTACGTTTCACTTTAAATAGATGGGGTTTTCCATGCCAACTTTGAAATCATCAGTAATATATGTTAAAAAAAAATCGACCACTTAGGGATATATTCAAACAAATGCAGCTTTTCTCAACCTTGCAGACATATGCTTTCGCATAATGTAGGCTGATAGACACCATCCTGTCTTAGTAAGATAAAGCAGAAATCTTCAGCTTTCTGTCTGTTTTCAGCCATGAGCAAAAAAGTACACTCATGAATTGACATAGAGAAGAAGGGTTAACTAAGAAGGATTAACTACTTTTAATAAAACTACTTTTTTGAAGGGAAATCTAGAAAATAGATCATCAGAGTCTAGGAAATCTAGGAAATAGATCACCAGAGTCCTATTTAACAGACATAATTAAATCAGATTTACTTAAAAATTTTCAGGTCACTAACAAGGCAGAAGTGATTTATGAGAGCACAGATAGACTCTGTGGCTCAAACAGTTCTGCTTTGCCCCTAAGGCAGGAACTCGGATATCTTTGCCCTGTAAGAGGAATACAGCCTCATGCCCTTTAACTTCTAATACCTCGTCTTTGAATACAGGATTCACGTAAAGATTTTCCTTTGTTTAGGAATGAAGATGAGGTAAAGATATGTGGCACTAATAAAATTTTTTAAAACTTAAAAAAAAGATAAATTCTTTCAGCAGTGGTATTACGTGTTCCATGTAAACTCAGTAATTTTACACATCACTGAAACCGTGCGCAGTGATCAGACAGATCACTGTGATCCCTGCATTTCAGTCTGGATGACAGGGTAAGTTGAACAGACATGTAACACCACAGGATGAAAAATAACTTAGAAATGTAATTTACTTGGTGAATAAAGGTAACAGAGGAAGGACTGTGTCAAATCTTCAAATCTTTTTTTCCTTCCCATTAGAGCTTTCCATAGAACAGCATAAAGAAAATGAAGCATAAATTGCAAAACCTATCAGAAATGCCTAGTGGCTCTCCACACACCAGACAAGTTTTTGAATGCACCCCTTTGCAGGCTGCTGAGGGTCTCCCTTCTGAAAGTCTCATAAGTGAGGAATGAATGGGTACAAGTGCTCCACTGGTGAAGCAAATAAAACTAAGAAAAATGTGGGTTTGATAGGCAAGAGGTCCCTGTAAGAGCCAGTGGGCATTGGATGGTCCAGATGCTCAAGTTACCTCCAGTTTGGGACGCTCAAGTTACCTCCAGTTTGGGACGCTCAAATTACCTCCAGTTTGGGACTTGGGTGCTCACTGAAGTCAATTGCCATCAGACTCTTCAGCTCAGAGGCTGCCATTTTACAATCAATCTATATTGGCTAGCTGCCACCAACAGAATAATTACTGAGCCTTTCCCCATCCCTAACCTTTGCATACCTGGTGGTTTTCTTCTGTGCTTACTGGAAGCCAGTCTGGGAAGCCTGAAGAGGTAGAAAACTCACCTGAAGGCAAAACGTGTGATGAGGAGTGGGGCTGAGGGGAAAAGGGGAACTTGGATTTAATGTTTCAGAGGTACTGATATGTCTGGTCACCTCAGGTGTACTGCTAGACTGTGCCAAGAGTAACGTGGACAAAATGAACTGAAGCCATAGCTTCATGTTACTCTTCTGCCCGTACTAGCTCTAGTCTAAATTATTTCTGCTTGTTCCTCATCTCAGCCAATCTCCAAAATTGTACCCACTGAGCTCTATATGCGTGGTTGTGCCTGGAACCAGTTCTGTGGGATAATCTAGATTTTAAAGACCTGGGGTAAATGGTGCATTCAGGGAGTGCTCTAAAAGGAAGGATGGGGTGAATAAAAGTCTGCATCTCCAAGTAGTGGGTGCCAGAAGGAAGCAGATGCCCAGGACCTGCCTTTGTTTTTAACAGCTCCTTCTGAAGCATTTGGTTTTAAGCTGTAGTTAACTACAAAACTGTATCACAGAAACTTCATAGAAAAATGCAGCCTCTGAGCAACACACATGGAAATGGAGAGCATAAGAAAAAAGACCAAACCACAGAAAAATATATGACTGCTCTTCAGTGAATAATGCAGTAAGACAGGAGAGAGGCTAATGACGCTCCAAACAGGAGACCAGTCAAGCAGAGGAACTGGGCAAACGGACAGCCCAGCCACTCATCGAGACACGGGATTAGTCACTCACAGAGCGGGTAGCATTTGCTGTGCAGGGGACACCACCTGGAGCTGACAGCAAGGCCAGAGAGCTTCAACACCTGGACTCCTGCAGAACGTGAAACACTATTCAGGAGGAGAGAGCTGGGGCATGCAGAGCTCAGCCCCCCCATGCCTAAAACCCAGTCATGGAGCTGCACAGGCTGCAGTGGGCCCACAGCTGAGCCCCAGGACTCCAGACACTGCCAGAACTAACCACATCTGCTTCATCCCTCTCCTTATCCTTACCAAAGAGCTATTTGCCCAAATCCAGCTACCTAAGGGCTGCCACCTTAGTCAGTCCTGAAATCCATGAAAAAAATCTCATTTTCTCTTTATATTCATGTTCCAAGGTGTCTTCACATCCCATTCACTTTACATTAGTAGTGTGAGAAGCAAACCAAGTAAAATAATTGTTGCTGAAAGAACATTAAGCCCTACAGTGGTAGGTATTTTTTCACACAGAAGAGAAGAACAGTAGCCTGTTATTTTAGTGAAGAAATCGTATGTGGTACTGGATCTTTCCACCTAGCCACACTTTTCCAGCAGAAATTCTACTGTATTCATCTATATAACATCAGGTCATTGTTTATAGACAGGTACTGTATGTCTGCGGTTATCAAGATATTTTTTCTGAAGGTCTTTTACAGGTATCTCAGCTATGGGAGCTGGAGACATCATAGTTATTGCCAATATCGATGTCAAGGTCTTGCTGACTCAACTTCTTCCCATCAAACCATTTACCTACGAGAACAACCGATCTTTTTTCAATCAAAACCTCATGATATTAAATTCCTCTCATAGGCAGCTTCACTTTCTGTATGTTATTAGAAATCAAAATAAAAAAAAATGCCACGCCATTACTGAACTGATCCTGAAAGTCATTATACCGTTAATTTGATGTTAGTTTACAATTTATGCTACTTGTTAACGCTAATGTTACTTGGATTTGCTCCACAAAGCTGGTGCTGACACAGTAATTATGGCTACAACTAAATGGATACATAAATCAAGATAAGGCAAGCAAGAAAGCTAGCAAGATATATGTGCCTTGCTATCTTGAGCAATTGATTTAATAATCCATTTTGCCAGGCTTGGGTTTGCAGCTTCTTAGAGCAAATCTTGCACTCTATTTTGTGTTAAGAGTTTTCTGCAGTCTGTTTGGAGCTCAGCCTAACAGTAAAACGCTTATTTGAAATTCTCACTGAAGAAAAGACAGCTACAATGAAAAGAAACATCATCAGATTCTGCCAGAACGCTTTAATATGGGCAACAGCTTGTCAGGTCCGAACAGAAATTTACTGTAGGCTGTTAAAGATTTAAAAGGTCCAACTGCAGAGCGCCAGGTCCTCTGCAGGACGAGGGGACTGAAACAGGGACTCCGCCAGGGCTGTGCTGCAGCCGGGTAAGTCGCTGCGAAGCGAAGCGAACACAGTTCAGGTCTGGAGGCACTAACTCCGCTAGCTCTTTTTCTCTTGCCGTGAGCCTTTTGCCCCTGTGTACCTGTTCTGCCGGCAGAACGGGGAGAACTGCCGTTTTCATCTGATGCTGCAATACTTGTGGTGGTCACTAGATAGCACCCGTGCTGCCCTGCCTGAGGGTGGGACTTCGCTACTGAAGTACAGGCCAAAACACCAGCCCCGGGGGCCTGAGCTGGTCTTCCCACTCCGGAGCGGAGCGGCGAGATGCTCGGGGAAGGCCAGGCCTGACCATTTTTACAGTGCATTTGGTTGTGCTCATCTTGCTTTCCCATATTATTCAGACAAAGGAAAAAAAAAAGCTCTGCCTGAAGTGTCTCTGTTGGGAGCACTAACGCTGAAACCGTTCAAGCTCAGGCTGGATGGGGCTCTGAGCAACCTCATCTAGCTCAAGGTGTCCCTGTTTATTGCAAGAGGGTTGGAACAGATGACCTTTAAAGGTCCCTTCCAACCCCAAAAATGATTCTAAATACAGGTGTGTTGCAAGAGCATCGCTACAAAGCACAAGACGTGATGTGGTCCCATCCAGCCCCCTAAGTCCAGCTGTCAGCTCCCCTCTGGCAGGGGCCTGCCACAGCTCTCCCCTGGCTGTCCCAGGCACCAGCACTGTCTTACCAGGGATGGAAGGACAGAATTTCACATTAACGACAGCCTCCTTAGGGCTTGAGGAAGGTTTTTAACAAATCAAAATTCTAGTTCTTGCAGTTTTGGAGCAGATGTGAAAAAACAAACCAGATGTCCTCTATAGGCTTATTTAAAAAACAAAACCCATGAGGGAAAAATATCCCCAGCCTACTGCTGCTTAACAGCTTTTTCTTCTAGATGGGAATAACTCAAGGGGGTGAATCTTGACTCACGTTTTTTTGAACATGAGATGCACTTTGGGTCCTGGGAGATACCCATCACTTGAGGCTGGCAGTACTGCATAAAACACCCTCACTCCCGCTGCCCTCCTGTAACTTTAAATTTCTCCTTCCTTTTTATACTATTATGTCTTTTACCTTGCAAGTTTGAGGATGTTGATATTTGGTTTGCATTAACAGTACTGCAAGATTCTATACCCAATTGTACAGTTACCAATAGCTAAACTGCTATCCAATAAATAAAAGTTTAATTAATAGCACTTCCTTACTCAGCAAATGTGTCTTTCCCATTTCAGTGAGCATGCTTTGGAATGACACTTTATTTCTGACAGCAATTAAAGAACAAGACTGAGTTAGATTCTCTGGTAGCATCAAAAAATAAATGATAGCTCTATGCTAATGGAAAAAAAAATTTAATCTGGAGTCTAAACCCACATACCTCAATTACATTTTAATTACATGGAAGATCCACATATAATTGCTCAGAGCTATTACTGCTTAACTAGAGATAGTATTTAATTACTTGAATTAATATTTAACATGTGTTGTATTGGAGGGGGGAAATGCTATAAAAGACTCAAAGTATCCTGAAATATTGCTGCAACTCAAAAATCCCCAGTACTCTCAAAATGCAGTTACAGATCCCATAACCAATTAAAACTTGAAACTGTAACTTCAGACTACTTGACTACTGGGAATTTTAACACTGAAATCCCATCACTATCATCAGCTAATAGTATCCCAAGCTGTTAACCAGGATTCATGGCCTCACGTGGTGATGATCACTGCGCTGTTTATAGATGAGAAAAGTCCCAGGAAATCTGGAATGATGACTGCCGCTGCAGCCTCTTGCACTCACATTTAATTCTAGGCATAAGAATATGGACCAAAGTAAACAAAACAATTTGCATGCTTAAATTTAACTTCATAAGTGTTTGCAGGCCTGGAATCTAATGAATACAAAGGGCTTGGAAGGATATACTATGTAAAAAAAATTGACAGTACTGTTGGAAAACACACGGCTACATGGTCCTCTTTAGGCATTTGATATAAAATGCAAAAATTTTCAGCTTATTTGCATTGATGAAATATCAAAAATAAAGTGATTTGATGAATATTTTTTTAAGCTGTGAAAATTTTCAGAATAATGTGAAAATTTTTATTGTCTTAAAATATGTCATAACAAATTCTTCTTAAAATGAAATATTACAATTGGTGTTTCAGCCGGCTTTATTACGTAAAGGTGTTGTCGTTTTACTTACAAAAGACCAAACAAAAACCAAAAAACAACAAAACATTGAAACCAAAAAAGAAAACCCTGATTGTATTTCTTAAAGGATTAAAAACTTGACAGTGCTAGGAGAAATTATTTCCGACTAAGAAGAAAAAATCATTTACAAAAAATCCAACCACCCGTAATGAAAATAACAACATTTCACCTGATGGCTTATCAAAGAAATGCCCAGGTTCTGCAGGGTCCAAAGCCACTGGTCAAGCTCTCTCTCCTGCCATTACCTCCCTGAGGCATGCTTTAGCTTTTGTAGCATTTATTTTTCACCCCCTTAAATTTGCTGGGTGGGGGAAGCATTCCAATTTTGCAGCCTGTGGAGCATTAATTACCAAAAGCCAAGAAGAACGCAGCGGGTTGTTTGCACCATCTGCTCCACCAGCAGGACAACCTGCAGCTGCTGAGGTGCTGGCTCAGGTGGTCTCCCCTACCCTTGCCCTCCCCACTGCTCCAGCAGTACCTGTCCTGGTGAGGGGTCAGCACACCCCTGAGAGCCTCTCCACACACCTTCCCTTTGGTTTTCCAAAAGTGGCAATCTCATCATTTTGCAATAACACCAGCAACGTGCCCGTGCCTCAGAATGGGTGGTGGCTGATCCCTCCTTGTCCCTCTGCTTTTCTCTCACTCCACGGGAAAGGCTCTTCTGCCTGTGCCCTGGGTGAATGGTGGGCGCTGAGAAAAGCAGAGCTAAAGAGCTTAAAGAGGAGGCGGGGAGGGAGGGAAGAAAGGTCTGCCCTCGCCATGATTGAGTGAGAGGCGAAATAACCTGTGAGCAAAATCTCTCCCCTCAAGTACTCCTGGGAAAGCTTTTAAGTGACCTGTATAAATAACAGAGCTTCCCGACTGACTGCTTTATTACCATCTTACCTGCTTGTTGGCTTTCAGCACTGCTCTCAGGGTTGCGATCTGCTCCCGCTTCGTGCTCAGGAGTGATTTCAGTTTCAGTATCTCTTCCATTAAGGCCTCCTTGTCTTTATCGATCATGGGTGCCAGCTCCCGAGCTGCAGCACGCTGGCGCGACAACTGCAGTGACCGATCGACAGCCTTCTGCAAGTGCTTGATTTGGTCCCTTATTATGGCATTGAGGTTGTAGATGTTCATCGGCTCTTTGCGGATGTCACTGGTGTCGGAGACGGGGGAGGAAGGAGGGGCTGTGATGACAGGAGATATGGTAGGTGTTTTTGTCGGGCTCTGTTCCTTGCCTGGCTCTGTGGCCTCTTTTGTCACCTGCTCGGTCGGGGTCCTGGCTTCTACCGGTGATGCCACCCCCCTTCTGGCAAGTCGCGGGGAAAGGAGACCACGAGGGTCATCTGGTCCTTTCAGGCTCCCGCTGCGGGTGACTCTGCTTTGCCTGTAATAGTCCAACATGACCCTGTTTGGTGTCTCATTGTTGCACAGGCAGACGTGATGATAGAGCTGAGCCAGCTCCTCGCTAAATGTCACCAGCTCGTCCTGGGCGGTGTTGAGGGTATTATGGTTTTCATTTGCTATGCTTGTCATCCTTTGCAACTCCTTCTCCATGTGGACCATTTTTTCCTGGCTTTCCTTGGTTGACTTCTCCAGGCTTGTCACCTGCTCATCATATGTCTGGATTCTGCTCTCATACTTGGCCTTCTCTTCAGTGTAGTTTTCCACGTACTTATTATATTTCTCCTTTAAGGCTTTGATTTCTGCTTTAAGGTCTATCACCTCAGTAACAGCTACTTTGTATTTACATTCTAGGATCTCCAAGCCATTGATATCCACTTCATAGTCATGTGCCTCCTCGCCAGAGTCTCGACCCTTCTCAGAGTCAAGCTCAGCTTTCAGCTCCTTGTTGCTCTGCAGCCCTCTCATGGCGTTAACATGCTCCGTGAGCCTATGGACTCGCTCGTGTTGCTCAGTCAGGGCTCCCTTGGTGTGTTCCAGCTGCGTCTGAGACTCCTGCAGGTTGGCCAGGAGAATGGCCTTCTCTCTCTCCACCTGCAACAGAGTCACAGTAAGAAACCCACAATCTTGTCCTCTACCTGTGCTGAACAACAAACTCTGCAATCACTTTCATCTCCCTCACTTCCCTGCTCTGCGTGTACAACTTGAGAGCTTCCAAGAGATTTCAGCAACATGCAACCAAACCATAAAAATAAGTCGGAAGATGCATGTAACTCTCAGAGAGTTACAAAGTCCCAGACTTTGCTACAATTAGTGATATCACTAGGTCATGATTTTACACATTTCCCACCAAAGAATTATCTAGAGTCCAAGGCACTAAGTTCGTAGTCAGCTAGAGCGATGAGATGGCATATATTACAACGTATGTTTCCCAAACACACAAACCGCATGACTGTCAACTATAAACCATTCCACTGGTGTGGAAGGCATTTCTCAATGGGGTTTGAATTTCCATTTCCCAGTAATAGCTCTACCAATCCTTCACAATATTTATTTATATCTTTGGGCTGCTGCATTCTTTCATTAAGGCTTGATTACTGAATGCAAATACAGTAAATAAATGGCTGTGCACATTTCCACAGCTTATATTAAACAAACCACTTTGTGGGAATGTAACACAGATCAGGAGACTGAGCACATGCAACTCCCAGGACTTCCCATCCTCAGCACTTAACCATAAGTTAAATCCACCGTTTTAAGGACAAGGCAGAAAAAGCGTGATTTGTGATATAACTAACAAACCACTGGTTCTGACCTAGTAAGTTGCTTTCTGAATATCCACAGAGAAATGTGGATGATGAACAGTAGAAGTCATGGAGAAGGACTCTAGAAATTTTAATGCACAGAATGTTAAAACAAGTGAACAATAAAAAGTTAAAGTTTGGGCTGATCAATTACTTGCTACTTGTGCTAATATCCCTGAAAGACTCCCGTTTCAAGATTTAAGTGTAATGCTCCAACTTTTTTTTTCTATGCCTTTGTCCTGTTTGAGTTATGAACTGGGAAGCCGAGGAAGGCATAAGGAGGATCCTTCTTGTTTTCACAGTTTTTGCAATGGGATCCTGGGCTCACCAGATTTACTGCTCTTTGTCTCCCATGATTGCAGTATCTCAGCCTTGTGTTTACACATGCAGTGAAAACGGCACGCTCCACATTCCCTTTATGAGTGGCTGAATTACTAATTCAGAGAATTCAAAGCTGTCAGTTCTGAAAAACCCTTCAAAAACCCCTTTTCTTTCCTATCAGTAATTCCCCCAGGTAGTATTTGGAAGAGTCAAATCAACCACCACAGATCTTACTGAAGAAAAGTCTTTTAGAGACTGAGAAGGTATTAATGTCATCTCACAAAATGTTCCAAAGAGTGCTTCAGACTCCTGTTTTCTCATAACGAGGCTTTTGAGCAGTGGCTGCTGCTCAGAAGTATTAAGGCACTACAGTATATGCTGATCCCCTGGTTTTACAGACAGGCTTTCAAAACCCAGCCTCTATTAGAACCTGCAATCAGTCCTAGGCAAAATACTGCAAGAATAAAAATAGAAGCCGTATTAAAAACATCTAAAAGAAATCAGCCTAGTTTTCTTGTGTACAGGTGACTGATCGCTTAAGAATTAACAAAACAGGGCAAACTATCGTATTTTGTGAGCCAGGAAGAGTCTGTCTCCTTAAATATAGGGCACTCCATTTTAGGCACCACGTAGTCTGTGCAGTAGAGGAGAGCCAAGTACCATAAATATATCAGTACCTTTCTCCATTTGGCGCTGTTCCCCAATTCCTGCTTCAGTCTGCCTTCCACCCTCCTTGCTGCTCAGTCCCTACTCTTGCTGAGAAAGTCTAAATAGGGCAACCTTTCCCTTTGCCAAGGGCATCTTCTTAAAAAGGTGATCTCTTGCCACAGATCTCTCAGTCAGACCTCTCCTGGGGAGCCTCAGAGATCAACCCAGCACAAGACTCTTCACCAGCTTCCCTGTTTTTTCCATCAAGTAGTCTACTCAATGTCTTCTCTCCCTCAAAACTTTCAGCTGAACTCTAGTTTTCACCACCAGGTATAGCAGGCTTAGGTGTTAATTGCATTATCCTAATCAGATAATGAAGGGATTTCTTCCTTCAGGCTGATAAGGCAAGCTCCACGTGTGCATAAAAATCTGAGATGTGGTTAATTTAAAGCACTGTCTCACCTTATGGTGAGAAGTCATACAGATAATAAAGATCCGTACATCATACACCAGCTGGCTTTTCGAGGCATATGGATCCACTGTGGGTATGTTCACACTGAAGTAGGCAATTAATTGTAGATTTCACTAATGTAAAAGCATGTAAAGCTCAGGCTTACAGCCCGAGAGCCTTTCCTTTGAGAAAATAACTCTGTGTTAAAGCAGCACAGTGTTGCCGTGTCTGCGTAAATTAATCAGACAGAATTGATCCTGCCTGATTACTGATCTCAGCCGTCGTACTCTGTCAGGAGGGAAAACTGTAACAGAGCTAGTTGGGACCTTTATGATAATTTCTATTCTGAACATAGATAATGTGTTCTGGAAACAAATACTTCTTCCAGATAGAAAGGCTTCTTTGCAAAGAAAGTATGCAATTTCTTAAAGCCCATATGCCAGCTTGGGCAGTATGTACAATGAAATACATAGATCTACTAAATTTTACTCATTCTGGTCCAGTAATTATGGATTAAGCTAATCCACTTCTCCTTAAAGTTATAAATACATGCTCCTACTTCCAAGGGAAAAAAACCCAAGGCTCCAACTCAGTGCTGAGAACATTTTCTGCATATTAATGACTCTGCTGTTTCCTAGCAGGGTAATTATATTTTCAGGCAAGCTGGTGTGGGTTTTTTTTGACACTAACATTAGAAAGGTTCTCTATAATCTTAAAATGAAATTAAAAGCAATTCAAAGGTAGCTGTACCTATTTTGCAATGCATCCTTTGCTTCTAAGATGCCAGTTTGAGATTTCCTTCTCAGTTTGCTCTATAGTTTACAATTATGCAAACTGATTTTACCATCGCTATTTATGCTTCTTTTTTTAAAAAAAAAAACCAACCCAACACACTAACATTAGAGTATCAGTAAACATTCCTAGTGGAAAAAATTCCTAGTGGAGAATGGAACAAATGAATAGGAAAACTCAACTTGGAAACCCTGAATCTCAGCTGTATTACGTTTGTCAGAGGGTACCGGGGAGCTGGAGAAGAGTGTCAGAAACTGGGCTGTATGAGTTCTTTTTTCTTTTTCTTTTTTTTTTTTCCTAAGAGAGAACTTAATCTAAGTTTTCCAAACATGATGTTGGCCTCGGGAATAGGGAGGCCGTCACCATGGAAGGAAGCGCGGAGGCCCAGGCTTT